CATTCCCGGAGTCCCGGGACACCCCAATTCCCACACGGCATTCCCGGAGTCCCGGGATATCCCGAGCCAAGCGCGGCATTCCCGGAGTCCCGGGATATCCCGAGCCAAGCATGACATTCCCGGAGTCCCGGGATATCCCGAGCCCAAGCGCGGCATTCCCGGAGTCCCGGGATATCCCGAGCCAAGCGCGGCATTTCCGGAGTCCCGGGACACCCCAATTCCCACACGGCATTCCCAGAGTCCCGGGATATCCCGAGCCAAGCGCGGCATTCCCAGAGTCCCGGGATATCCCGAGCCCAAGCACGGCATTCCCGGAGTCCCGGGACACCCCAATTCCCACACGGCATTCCCAGAGTCCTGGGATATCCTGATCCCAAGCGCGGCATTCCCGGAGTCCTGGGACACCCCAATTCCCACACAGCATTCCCACATTCCCAGGACATCCCAAGCCCTGGTACGGCATTCCTGGAGTCCTGGGATATCCCGAGCCCTGGCGCAGCATTCCCAGAATCCTGGGACACCCCAATTCCCACACAGCATTCCCGGAGTCCTGGTACACCCCAGTTCCCACACAGCATTCCCACATTCCCAGGACACCCCAAGCCCTGGTACGGCATTCCCAGAATCCTGGGACACCCCAATTCCCACACGGCATTCCCAGACTCCCAGGACACCCCAAGCCCTGGTACGGCATTCCCAGAATCCTGGGACACCCCAATTCCCACATGGCATTCCCAGAGCCCCAACACACAGCGATCCCCAGGATAACATTCACTGCTCCCGGAACACTCCGACCCCTGGCACAGCATTCCCTGTTCCCTGGCACAGCATTCCCTGATCCTGGCACAGCATTCCGTGTTCCCGGAACACTCCGACCCCTGGCACAGCATTCCCTGTTCCGAGGACACCCAACCCTTGGCACAGCATTCCCTGATCCTGGCACAGCATTCCGTGTTCCCGGGACATCCAATCCCTGGCACAGCATTCCCTGATCCTGGAACTGCATTCCCTGATCCTGGCACAGCATTCCCTGTTCCCAGGACACCCAACCCTTGGCACAGCATTCCCTGATCCTGGCACAGCATTCCCTGATCCTGGCACAGCATTCCCTGTTCCCAGGACACCCAACCCTTGGCACAGCATTCCCTGTTCCCTGGCACAGCATTCCCTGTTCCCGGAACACTCCGACCCCTGGCAGAGCACTCCCAGACTCTTGGGACATTCCAGGATCCAGGACAAACCATTTCCAGGACAGCATCCCCCATTCCTGGGATGGCATCCCCCATTCCCAGTCCACCCCATTCCCATTCCCATCCCATCCCATCCCCATCCCCATCCCCATTCCCATTCCCATTCCCATATTCCCATTCCCATATTCCCATTCCCATTCCCATCCCCATCCCCATTCCCATTCCCATTCCCATTCCCATTCCCATATTCCCATTCCCATATTCCCATTCCCATATTCCCATTCCCATTCCCATTCCCAGTCCATCCCATTCCCATCCCCATTCCCGTTCCCATTCCCAGTCCATCCCATTCCCATCCCCATTCCCATTCCCATCCCAATCCCATCCCCATTCCCATTCCCATCCCAATCCCATTCCCATATTCCCATTCCCATTCCCATTCCCAGTCCCAACATGATCCCATTCTTATCCTGATGCCATCCAATTCCCATCTTGCTCTCATTCCCATTCCCATCTCAATCCAATTCCTGAACCATCCTGATCCCATCCCATCCCATCCCATCCCACCCCCATACCATTCCAACCCCACCCCATTCCCGTTTCCATCCAATTCCCATCCATATCCCATTCCCATCCCGTTCCCATTCCCATTCCCATTCCCATTCCCATTCCCATTCCCATTCCCATTCCCATTCCCATTCCCAATCCCATTCCAATCCCATTCCCATTCCCATTCCCATTCCCAATCCCAATCCCAATCCCATTCCCATTCCCATTCCCATTCCCATTCCCATTCCCATTCCCAATCCCAATCCCAATCCCATTCCCATTCCCATTCCCATTCCCATTCCCATTCCCATTCCCAATCCCATTCCAATCCCATTCCCATTCCCATTCCCATTCCCATTCCCAATCCCATTCCCATTCCCATTCCCATTCCCACCTCCTTGCCACGCTGCGCCTGCTGCAGGGATCGCTGCAGCTGCTGGTGGCCGCGGTCGCTGCGCTGCATTCCCGATCTCATTCCATTCCCAATCCCAATCCCATTCCAATCCCAATCCCAATCCAAATCCCATTCCCATTCCCATTCCCATTCCCAATCCCAATCCCAATCCCAATCCCGTTCCCGTTCCCACCTCCTTGCCGCGCTGCGCCTGCTGCAGGGATCGCTGCAGCTCCCGGTGGCCGCGGTCGCTGCGCTGCATTCCCGATCTCATTCCATTCCCAATCCCAATCCCAATCCCATTCCCAATCCCAATCCCATTCCATTCCCATTCCCATTCCCATTCCCATTCCCATTCCCAATCCCAATCCCAATCCCAATCCCATTCCCAATCCCATTCCCAATCCCATTCCCATTCCCATTCCCATTCCCATTCCCAATCCCATTCCCACCTCCTTGCCGTGCTGCGCCTGCTGCAGGGATCGCTGCAGCTCCTGGTGGCCGCGGTCGCTGCGCTGCATTCCCGATCTCATTCCATTCCCATTCCCATTCCCATTCCCATTCCCAATCCCAATCCCAATCCCAATCCCAATCCCAATCCCAATCCCAATCCCAATCCCATTCCCACCTCCTTGCCGCGCTGCGCCTGCTGCAGGGATCGCTGCAGCTCCCGGTGGCCGCGGTCGCTGCGCTGCAGCAGCGCCTGCATCCTGCGCATGCCCTGCAGCGCCCGCTGCAGCTCCGCATCCACCCAGCGGCTGCCCGCCGCCGACAGCGCTGGGCGCCGGGGAAAGGGGGAAATTCGGGAAAAGGGGGGAAAAGGTGGGGGAAAGTGGGGGAAAAGTTTGGGAAAAGTGGGGGAAAAGTTGGGGAAAAGTTGGGGGAAAGTGGGGGGAAAGTGGGGGGAAAGTGGGGGGAAAGTGGGGGGAAAGAAGGGAAAAGTGGGGGACATCAAGGGGGAAAACGGGGGAAAAGTGGGAAAACCATTAGGGAAAAGTGGGAGGAGATTAAGGCAAAGAGACCCCGTGACCCCAAACTCCCAAAATGAGACCCCGTGACCCCCCCAAATGAAACCCGTGACCCCAAATTGAACCGGTGACCCCAAATTAAACCCGTGACCCTGAATTAAACCCGTGACCCCAAATTAAACCCGTGACCCCCCAAATTAAACCCATGACCCCCCAAATTAAACCCGTGACCCCCCCAAATGAAACCCGTGACCCCAAATTAAACCTGTGACCCCGAATTAAACCCGTGACCCCAAATTAAACCTGTGACCCCGAATTAAACCCGTGACCCC